CTTTCTGCAACACCTGAATGTCAAATTTCTTTCATAATCCACCAACATATTTTCTCTTTATACTATGTGGAAGTGAATTCATCCAACTTCTGCTTTGAGCCTCCCCTGTTCTTTCAGATCTGAGAATCTAAGTCCCTTTTCCCAGAAATCAGGACTTATTTATTTCTTAAGTTTTCTGATCATGTTCCAGCAAATTTTTCCACCATGCCCTCAATTTCTTTCTTATCTTGCTTACAGGTGATTCCTCTTCATTACAATAAATGAGTATGAAATTAGACCAAAAGCTAAAGTATTACATTGTTAAAAGGTGGGATGGCTATCACCAAGTAGTTTTAATTGCCAAACATTGCAAATGGAATAAATATTAGAAATTGCACTGTGGAATCACAGTCAATTGCCTGCATCAGTGTTACTTGAAAAGATTCAATGCTCTTCCCACATACTGCTTCACTGTGACCTTTCAGGACTGACTAAATTAACCTCTTTTCTCAAAGAAATAAACAGGCAATGAAAGTCATGCAGGTCTGCACAGTTTCATGTGAAAGAACAATGAAGAACAGATAAAAAATTCACATAGTGACCTCCAAAGTCCAGACATTTACGTCTAGGAGCAGCTATCTTTCTCCTAAGATCAGATGAAAGCGTGAAAACAACACAACAGAATTGAATGCTTAAGTGACTGACAGAAAAACTTGACGTGCAGAATAGTGAAAGAAATGCATCTTTAGGTATTTCATGCAGATGATTAAACCTGTTACACACTTCTCTTTCTGTTTTAACTGATTTTCTACAAGAGAGGCTATTAGATTCTTAGAACATTGTGGGCCACAGGCTGAGATATAAATTTTGCTTTATATACAAGTGAAATCCTGGTGCTAGATGAATCAGTGGCATTCCTAAATGGGATAAGCCTTTTGTCCAAATGGCTAGATTTTCCATGACTGTAAATGACTGCAGTACTAGTACTGTTTTTCAGGGCACACACTTACAGACTCTTCTAAAGACTTCTACAGTTATGGTCACAAAATGAAGGTTGTGCAAGATACAACATGCTGAACACAAACATGTATTTACATGGTGAGTACAAATATACATTTAGATATGTAGAGATTCTGGAAGAACCTTTCTGATGCAACCAAATTTCTGTAAAAGATCATTCCTTCGAAGACTGAACAGTTTTGAGAATTAATTTGTTTCATTTTGTTAGAAAATTGCCTACCTCTGTCATCAGTTGATATTATATTTTATTCAGGAGGATTTATGCATTTTATGTCTCTAATTACATAAAATATTTTCCCTCTTTTGAAAAAGAGAAGATATGCATGCTATATACAGCTAAGGTGTTTTCTGAAATGAGCTGGCTAAAATCTTCAATTTTGTAAGCTAATGAAAACTCAGGAACTCCAGTGACACTGCTCAAATTTACAGAATTTGAGGATTTGGCTTGTTATTTTTTCATTCAGGTTAAGTAGCAAGAAGCACACATTTACAGCGCTATGATCAGGTATTAATTAAATAGCTTCCAACAATAACAGAATTTTGCAAGCTTACTACATTATGGACTAAATCAGCACTGACTGCACATAAATGAGTGAATAGCTGTAATCTGGTATTATTTATATATTTGCTTCAGCAAAGTCTGATCATATCAAGTAACTGTAACCAACTCCTAGTCAGCTAGCACTCACCATCACAGACTCGGAAAAAAAAAAGGAAAATAAAGAGAGCGTAGAATACAGAATACATTCCATATGCTGTAAACCAACTGGCCTGCGTGACAGGCACTCACACAACACTGTGCAAAAAAAAAAAAGATAAATGAATGAGAGTCATAGAAGTTCTTACATTTAAGTTTTTACCTATCTTTTTATGAGACAAAAGCAAACCTATATTTTAAATAAACTGATTCATATTGTGCTTAATTTGAGTCTTGCATATAAAAAGTAAAAAAAGTTAAAGTCTGTGATAAAAAACACAGCAGTTTTTTATCAATTAATTTACTAAAATTCAAGACTCGATATTTTTTCTCAGCAACTAAGAGCACAGTATTTCTTTTATTCCAGAAGTATGTGCTTTTCGGCAAGTCGGAGAAAGGTATCTTGTTATCTCAATCTTGCTACTTAATTTAATTAGCCTTACTTGCTTAATCATACTTAATTACTTATTCACAATGAAACAATTATCAGGAGAAAAAGAGGCATAAAAATGTCAAATATCAGTATTGTTTACTGAGTTCAGCTTTTTTGGATGGTAAGATACAGGAAAGAGGGCAGAGACAGTTTTCAGCAATGAGAATGTATCATTATAGAATCACAGAATGGCCTAGGCTGGAAGGGACCTTAGAGATCATTTAATCCAACCTCCCTGTCATGGGCAGGGACGCCACCTCTTGACTAGACCAGGCAACACATGGGGACCGGGCGAGAATCGAACCCGCGACCTCCATGTTGTCATTGTTGTCAGCACTGTGCTCAAACCACTGAGCTAATTATGCTTCTATGAAGTTCGTAAATGTATGTCTGATCCTACAGCATAAGAAATTTATACAGAAGTGGAAATTCTCATGGCCCGTAGTAAAAGTATTTCCTCTGAAGTGATGCCAAGTATGTATTTATGTGTCCTTATATAACAAATCTCCTTATGTATTGAGTGTAATACTCTGTAACACTTCATCATGCTTGATGAAGCAATATGTTTCAAGATGCTCATAAATATCCAGGCTACTTTGGTAGTAGGTCTTAGTTTCTCTATTTGTTGGCAGATACTATCAATCTCTAATTCTCCTTGTAGTAATCTTGGTAGAAATCAAGGAAAATTTCAGTGAAATCAGGTTAATAAATGGGCAAGAAATAGTGGAGGGGAATCAGTGGCTGAATATTTTTTTAATAAACAGTTTTGTTCTTTTTTCTTTAGGTTAAAACGTCCAAATAAATAAGTTGTTTTGTCATTACTGCTCAGTACAATTATTAACATGTTTGTGAAATTCAATTATGTGATAGGATTTGAAGTGTTTAATAGTGTGTTAAGTACACAGCAGAAATACTGTAATCTTCTAATGGTTGTTGCACAATCATTTTTGTGTTTTTAAATGTCTTTTCCTCTCTCTGAATGCATAACCAATGCATTTAGCACTATTAGAATATACATTTAGTACCTTTAATATTATTATTTTCATGTATACAAACTAGAGAAACAAGTAATAGAAATGGTGTATTTTCTGATATGAATATTCAAATTCTTCCACTTTTATCTTCTTTAATACTACAGGACAGAAGAAACCACAATTTAAAATTATGAACAAATATTTGTATCATAAAACCACAGATATTACAGATTAGAGGTTGCTTTGAATAATTTTTGTTCTGCTCCTTCTCAGGTATATTACAGATTCTATTGTTATACTGTCTTTACATTTATGTTCATGTTTATTTACAATTATTTTTTTAATTTGGACTGAACGTGACTTATGTCAACATAATCTCTTTTCACACAATGCAACTGGCATTAATATATTGTGAAAGATAAAGAGAACATTCACATTTCCGATCACAGAAAAAGAAAAACCAAAGATTAACAAGATGTCTCACAGAGAGTAAGATTATTATTTTCATTCATAAGGGTGCACAAAGGAGGCCCAGTTGCAATCAGAGGGAAAGGCCCAATTACAAACTTAAATAGCAGTTGAAATGTATGTTATTTTTAAATGTTTCAGTGTAAACTGAAAGCTCAGCTCTAAAATTATAAGTACCAACATAGTCAGGAAAGAGAACGCTAAAGCAAGACACCATAGAAAGAAAGCCATAATAATGACACAAACTAAATGGATAGGAGGGAAGAATGGCTAATAAAGTAGAATTAACACGGTTTCCTTTCACAAAGCCCTATGGTTGTCCTTCTGTCATAATATCGCAGCCATAAAACGAAAACAAAGCATTATCTGTGAATCATTCCATGAAAATGAGAGTTTCTCTGTGCTATGATCCTCTGATCTAATAAAAGTCTTGTAAGGTCTAAAAAGGCTCAGTTTTGCAGCCAGTCTTGTTTATTATCTTTATCAATGACCTGGATAAGAGGGTCAAATCCACCCTCAGAAAGTTTGTAGCTGACACTAAACTGAGCATGAGTGTTGATCTGCTAGTGGGTAGGAAGGCTGAGCAGAGGTATCTGGACAGGTTGCATCCATGGGCCAGGGTTAATTGTATGAGGTTCAACAAGGCCAAGTATTGGGTCCCAACAACCCCAGTCAATGCTATAGGCTTGGGAAGGAGTGGCTGGAAAGCTGCCTGATGGAAAACTGAGCTAGGGGTACTGGGGAGCAGTCAGCTGGACAGAGTGCCCAGGTGGCCAAGAAGGCCAACAGCATCCTGGCCTCCATCAGCAATAGTGTGGCCAGCAGGAGTAGGGAAGTTATCAAGCCATGTACTTGGCACTCGTGAGGCCACAGCTTGAGTACTGTGTTCCAGGAACCACTGTACAAGAAAGACACTGCGGTAGTAGAGTGTGTCCAGAGAAGGGCAATGAAGCTTGTGAGGGGTCTGGAGAACATCTTATGAGGAGTAGCTGAGGGAACCGGGATTGTTTAGTTTGAAGAAAAAGAGGCTAAGGGGAGACCATATTGTTCTCTATAACTACCTGAAAGGAGGTTGTAGTGAGGTAGGAGTCAGTCTCTTCTTGCAAATAACAAGAAACAGGACTAGAGGAAATGGCCTCAAGTTGCGCCAGGGGAGGTTTAAATTGGATTTTAGGAAAAATTTCCTTAATGAAACAGTGGTGAAGAATTGAAAGAGGCTGCCCAAGGAACTGATGGAGTCACCATCCCTGGAGGTGTTCACTTCAGTACATGGTAGCACTTCAGGACATGGTTTAGTGATCACGATGATGCTGGGCTGACAGTTGGACTAGATGATCTTAGAGGTCTTTTCCAACCATAATTATTCTATGATTCCTTTGTATGATTTAGAAGTATACATGTATTACATCACAGTTGTAAGCCACATTACCTTTGCAGTTTGGAAGGACAAATTTCAGCCAGATATTCAGGTAGTCTTGTGCTGCTATTTGAACACATTACAATTCTAGATCTTTTCAGAGCCATGGTTCAAAAACAAAAAAAAAAGAAATAAAAATCTAATGCCTACATGCAATACTGCAATGAGCTACAAGAAGCTAGAACAAAGCAAGTTGGTTCATCGAATCTGACACACTCTCCAATGAATTCTAGATGAAGAACCAAAGAAAACTCCATATTAAAGTAAAAATGTATCTCAAAAAGACTCTATGATCACAATAAATTTCAAACTCTACACAAAGAAAATTACACTACAAAGTGAGGTACTCTCCGAAGCAAATGTATTTGAAGATTCAACTACTATTACATACTCATACACATATGAAATAAAATCTCTTAGGGTAGAGCCAAAACTTCATTGGTCCCTGATTTACTAGCACATTATTAGCGACACAACAACCGATTAGAAAATAACAAGAACGGGTTTCACCCCAGAACAGACAGAAGGAAATATTACAGAAGCTTTAATTCGTTCTCTCACTACACTTTCACCATATTTCTGAGACCACATTTTGCAATTGTCATATACCCATTCATCAGCATTATTTAGTATTTGTAGCACATAATATTTAGCACTCTCCTAAAATAGGATCTTATTTTTCTATATCCAACAAAAACAGAGAAGATAATCTTCCTCCAAGAATGTTTACTATCTTAATCTTCCCCCCTACAATGTTTACAGTCTAAGATAAAGCATGACAGCTGGCTACAGTCAGACTTAATGCAATACATGGAAAACATGAGAGAGTTTTAGTCAGCATGAATGGCATTAAAATCAAGTCTAATAACTTTCTAACAAATGCACAGTTTTTAATGGAGCAAAAAACAACTGAAGAGAAGATTAAAAAGTATTTTTGTGAGTAACTATGGAAAATTAAATTTCTTCTTATTTTTTTCTTATATCCTGCAATGCAGATTTATGTAAACCTGTAAAAGGGGTTTCCAGAAGTAAAATATCTAAGAAGTCACTATCTCTGCCTGCCAGGTTTGGTATCATCAGAGATATCACAGGAGAATGTTTATCAGCTTGTTGAAAATTAAAGAAATAGTATTGAAATGTATGCACTGATCCCCACTGGATCAAAGTGCACATTCCAGCTGAGTGACAAATTAAGAGCTGACAGTAAATACACTGTATGTCTTTAAGATATAACCACCAACCCAAAATACTTCCTGAATGAGGACACTTACTCCAATCTTCTAGTGTAGAACTACTCCTTATCTTCCATTTTTCTTATTGTGTGTAACAAGGACTTAATATCTTGTTTCATTTCAAGAAATATGGCATCATAACCAGCTCATAAAATACTGGGGACTCAACTTAAATGCCTCTATACAAATGTATGGAGTATGGGAAACAAAGAAGAGATGTGTGCACACTACAATGAGATTATCAGCATCACTAAGACATGGTGGGATGGGTCTTATGACTTGAGTGTGGAAATGGGTGGATACAAAGACAGGCAGGGGAGAAGAGTAGGGGCTGTCGCCCTCTACGTCAACGACCAGCTGAAGTCCATGGAACTCCGGCTGGGGAACAATGAGGAGCTGACCAAAAGCTTATGGTCAGAAGCAGAGTGAAGGCAAGGGTGGGTGATATCATGATGGGAGTCTGCTACAAGCCACATGATCAGGAAGATCAAGTAAATTAGGCCCTCTGTAGACATACAGGAGCAGCTTTGCATTCACAAACTATGGTCCTCATGGGGGACTATCACACAATATCCCCAACTCTTGCTTCTCATTTTGTCTTGTTTATAAATCATGCAGATTCTGCTATTATTTTCTTCCCACTCCAACATCTTGCTATCAACCAGTTTTTCTACCTTCACTAATTCCAGTGTATTCCTTTAGATCTTTTTTGTTCTTCTCCTCGATATGAATCTCTAATGAAAAGTTGTTTTCATTTTGAAACTAGTTGATCAATCATTTCTCTTCAAATTCATACCCCTGTTAGCAGTTCTTATCTGACACTGCAGCATCCAAAAGTATGCTTTCTGAAATAATCACGAGTATAAACTAACATATACACCTCTTTTTAAATATCATATTTTTCCTTCTATTGTATCAAAGCAGTAATAATCTCTACTTAATGTTAGGACATAACTAAAAAAGCATGAAGAAAAAGTTGCAGTATCCTTTGTATCTTTGACACTATAAGCAACAGAGATATCAGTTATGTGACTAGCTAGCCAAGCCAGACAAACTGTCTCCACCATATATTTTGTTTGTCAATTGCCACATTCTTATCTACTCATATTCCACTGACCTTATGCTCTGCTGGTGAGAATACGTCAGATGAAGTTACAGATTACAAGCTTCCTCTTTTTTCTTTACTGTTAATACAACAGTAGGACAGTTTTTAATGGACATTACTTCAACAGCTACCCTGGTTTAGTGTTGTATGTTAGAAAATGATGCAGGATTACTGCAATGGACATCTTTCTTATTCACATTCTCAGTGGACAGTGACTTTCACTTTTAACATGTGTGGGTCAAATAGTTCTATCTCTTAAATAAAAATAAAATACTACACTGAGCTATTTATGTTAAGCCTCAACTGCTGTATGGCCAACAGCCTGCATGTCTTCGCCTTTTGCACAGTATGCAACATTTCCCGTTTGGCTCCAGCAAGAGCCTAAGCACAGACTTGATGCTATAAGATAAAATGAGCAGGATGAGAACTCTGGGATACCAATCCATAATTTAAAGTAAAGTTTAGATGTCGGACAAAGAAGTCTTGTCCAGGCATGCCCTGTATTTTTTGGCTTTGCAGTAGTATAGCTTATTGCATGGCCTTCTGCCACACAAGCGTATGTGACATGAAAAGAAAGACTGAAGAAGATCCAGGCTGACATTTCTTCAATAGCAGAGCAACACTTTGCAACACAGTCATATGTTTTTCAGCTTCAAGAGGAGTTAAAAAACACGTTTTCAAGTTCTTCTGATTATTATTTCAGCATATAGCTGAAGTTATGATTAAGGTCTAATATACTCTCCATTAAGGCATTTTGTAATTCAGAGCATAGTCAATTAGAAACCACAGTTTTACTAATTCTACTAGTACTTATTCCTTAAAATGAAGCTTAGAGGGTAACTCACAAAACATAGCAATTTGTAGCCTTTATATTCTTCAGCAGATGAAACAACAGCCCATTCACGAATCATCAGTTAACACAACCCTTCTTTTTTTCTCTATGGGAAAAATTTGTTTCACAGAATCACAGAATCAACAAATGTTAGTGGTTGGAAGGGACCTCTAAAGATCATGTAGTCCACCACCCCTATCAGAGCACATTCACCTAAAGCAGGCTGCACAACTTATACAGGATGGCATCCAGGCAGGTTTTGAATGTCTCCAGAGATAGAGACTTCACCACCTCTCTGAGAAGCCTGTTCCAGTGCTCTCACACCCTCAAAGTAAGAAAGTTCCTCCTCATGTTTAGATGGAACTTCTGATGTTTAGGTTTGTGCCTGTTACCTCTTGTCCTGTCACTGGGCACCACTGAAAAAAAGGCTGGCCCCGTCCTCTTGATACTCAGCTTTTAAGAATGTATAACCAGGGATGAGGTTCCCCCTTAGCCTTCTCTTCTTCAGGCTAAAAAGCCCTAAGTCCGTAAGAGAGACATTCAAGTCCCGTAATCATCTTCGTAGCCATTTGCTGTACCCTCTCCAGCAGTTCCTTGTTCTTGAACTGAGGAGCCCAGAACTGGACACAGGGCTCCAGATGTAGCATCAGCAGGGTAGAGTAGAGGGGGAGGAGAACCTCACTCGACTTGATGGCCACACACTTTCTCATACACCACAAGACAGCTTCCAAAAAGTTAAACTTGACACAATTTTTATTAAGCACTATCAGCTACAGGCACTATCTCAGGCCCGTTCAGTTATTCACAGATTAGTAATAATAAGAATCAAGCACAGAACCATCGAATCATAGAATCATAGACTAGCATAGGCTGGAGGGGACCTTCTTAGAGATCACCTAGTCCAACCTCCCTGTCATGGGCAGGGATGTCTCTCAACTAGATCATGATACTCAAGGCTCCATCCATCTTGGCCTTGAACACCTCCAGGGAGGGGGCAGCCAAAACCTCTCTGGGCAACTTATTCCAAAGTCTTGCCGCCCTCATACTGAAGAATTTCTTCCTAAGGTCCAATCTAAATCCATTCTCCTTCAACTTAAACCCATTTCCCCTTGTCCTATCAGTGGACACTCTTGTAAAAAGTCCCTCACCAGCCTTCCTGTAGGTTCCCTTCAGGTATTGGAAGGCAGCTATTAGGTCCCCTCAAAGTCTTCTCTTTTCAAGACTGAACAATCTCAGC